AATATCAGTCAAGTTCTATGTGACTACATGGCACAGCACTATAGAAGACAGCCATCTTCGCCTACCACTTCGCCACCATAAGTGCTGTATAATCATATCTGTATTTGCCATGTGTGTTAGTGTGCATTGACCTTCTGCGTGTTTCTGTTCCAGTCACCTACTGTAATCTTGAGCCCAAGCTGTGCAGCATCTGACAGAGGTGAGTCGCTTACTCTCTTCACCGATCAGGCTACGTGCGTAGGAATGTTCACATTATGTACACTGCCTTCTCATTTCAGTGAGCTGTACTGTGTGGGAGAGTCGTGACGTAAAGAAGGCTGACCTTTCTGTACTAGACATTAGTTCTGCCATCATAGCACGTGTTGAGTCTATGCCAGAAAACATGGACTACTTCTATGTAGGTGAGTTGCGTCGACTCTGTGAAGTGAAGTTGCATGGGTGGAAGGGGACGTAAGTTTATAGGAAATTGTGAACCTTCGTGTAGAAGCCAATCTGTTGCCATATTTGTAGTTGTTAACGTATGGAAAAACTGTTTCATGTATATTCTGTACAGAATTTATAGTATGTTTAACCAGTCTCAATAAAAACTTTCGCATTTTTAATTCCAGTGGCTCATCAGAAATCATTATCAAACCAAAAAGTGTAAATACAGATTCTTATTGGCTGCTGTTGCCATTTGTTACCTTACCAAAAGTTACACATTTCAGGATTTGACACCGTGTGGTGATAATGCCACGTTTCCAAATTATTGCCGTGTTGCTACCATCCCATCTGTTTATGGACTGAACAGTTCCACACAGGTTCATTGTTCTGTAATGTCAATCTTTAATTAGGTTACTGCTTCTTTTAAATTAAAGCAGTGGTAATTGTGATCATACATATATTAACCCTTTCAAAATCATAGGAAACTGTGTATCGCCCAGTAGGATTTTGTGGTGAGTGTGAAGATGGCTGTCTTCTGGGTTGTAGCACTGTGTAGTCTGGTAGAAGTTTACCAGCATTCGGGAGTCCTTGCTGCCTTCGTCATCAGGGTGATGAGTAAGGTGTGCTCGTGGAATCACTTTTAAATATAGGAACCAGTCAGTTGAGGCAGAACCTTGACCAGACTAGTGGGGGCCAGTAGCCGACAGGAGGGGGGAGGACACGTCATCATCTGTTGGCTCCCGGGCCCTTTCCTGTTCCTGACCATACTCCCCACTGGTCCAGTTTAGGTTCAGCCTTGGCTGGCAGTTTCCTATATCTCAAACCGATTCCACATCCACAACTTTCTCATCGCCCTGATGGCGGAGGGAGCGAGGACTCCTGAAATGTTGGTAAACTTCTACCAGACTACACAGCGCTACAACCCTTTGGACAGCCATCTTTTCTACCACCCACTTCAGCAATTAATAACTGTATTTTTACCACAGAGAATGTTGGTGGGTTTTTTGGAGGTGAGTTGTGTTCATTTGAGGTAACGACTGGGTTCTTGGATATTATTTAGACAGGCTTCAGCTTCAGAGGCTTAATAATGCATTTTATTCTGATGTGATTAGGGGTGGTGATGGCCATCATTCTTTCGTTGCTTCCATCTTTGTGTCGACTGAGTGATGTGACGCAGGAAGTTACCCCAGGTACAGATTCTGCATCTCCGGCTGCTATTTCTGTAACAGTGGTGGAAATTACTGGCACACTGCTATCAAACCTGTCTGGTTCACTTGTGCTACTGCTGAATGTTGCGCTGGGAAACACTTTATGGTGAGCTGAAACAAAGTTTTCCTTCGCGTACTGAAATATTGTTGTGTCAGGAAGCAGCAAACATGGAACAACACAGGTTCACATTGTCTTCACTTGTATATTATTTCAGTCCCATTGCCTGATGGGTTTTTTTTAATCCATGCTTTAAGCACAAATCTTTAACATGCCTATTGTTTTGTTTAGTATGTTATGTGTCTTGATTGTTGCTGTACCACACATAATTTACTTCATATTAATTTGTGTGATAAAAAGTTTCCAATTGACTACCTTCTTATAGCTTCTCAAGGCTTATGTATAGTGTTGAGTCCATGGCCTGATGTTTGATACCTGTGGTCGAAGCTCAAAGATTCTGGACATCTTATTAAAGATGCCATGTCTTGAAACAACATAGTAATTCATGTTTTTTATAAGTCATTAATTGTCTTTTATAAGTAAAATAATTTGTCTGTGGTCAGATTGGAAGACAAATGCTCTAAATCAGAATGACGATCGATAAATCTTGGAAAAATAAAATAAGAGTCTGCTTCCCTTGCACTTCTAGACTTGCCATTGCATCACAAACAATACAGTGATTGATAATACTGATGATTACTTTTTGCTCATTAACAAATACTGGACTGCATGTGCTTTACAAACAACAATAAGAAAGATATTCTTTTCCAGATATCACAGTCTGTATATTTTGGTATCCATTTCCAGTTTCTCGTGGTTTGAGTTCACATAGACGCTTTAAAACATATGTACTTAATATGAGAAGTGCACAATTTTTGGTTGGGTAGACGTATTCATGCAAAACAGTCGTCAAAAATATATATTTAGACATCAGGATTCAAATTTGCAAGCATGATCTTCACATCAGCGCCATCCCCATTGCCGTGCCCACTGGTGTACGGGGGAACGTTCTGCTTTGATCTCTGGTCTGCTTTCGGAGGACTTGGAAGAGTCATTAACATCATTTAATTTTTCTTTAAATTAAGCAGAGATATTGATGTCTTTGCTCGACAGACATTTGGCATAAGTCATTGTAGTTAATTGAAAGTACAGACACTCCGAACGGATCACAGGTGACTGGAATTACGATGCCAGCAGCATGCTTATATCACTTCTGGTTTGGGACTTTGGAAAAGTTCAAGGGCTGGAATCATGTCATACACGGACTTCATGAAACATGATGCCGTGGCCTTTTCTACCCATCACTGATTTTAGGTGCTTTCAGTTCTGTAGTATTGTCATTTCTGTGCCCAGTTTGGGCAGAGCCCTTTAGGTGTTGCTGTACTCTGTTGAACACAGTGATGACTCTTTGGTTCCATAATACGTGGGGAATTTATTGACTAGCTGAGCAACTGTTAGCTGCTTGCCAAGAAGGACTCTGTTTCATGGAGTTAGTTATTTGGTTCATTAGTTGGTTGATTGCTTTGCTGGATGGCTGTTTAGCTTGGTTGGTTATTTGGGCAGTTTTACTGCCTTAGGAAGGTCAAAATGTTTGGGCCATCCAGGTACAGTATGTGCAGCAAAGCAATACATGTCCGGTTCTGAACCACATTTTGGAAGTGTGTGTGATCTTCCCAGCCTGAGGAAGAAACTTTTCTCCTTTGTAATGAACTTCAATGTTTTTCAGAAACAGCAGCCATTTGGTGAGCATGGGCAGGTATGTGAAGATTGCAGAGTGGCTTATTTGGAAAGGTTATTATGTAAAATTACAGAATTACATTCAAGATGAGTACCCAATTTTTTTCAGTGTCCATTCATTTTGAAGAAAAAATTGGAAGTCATTCTTTCAGTGCAACTTCTTAGGTCCTTGTGTTATATGTTGTAAAATGGTGTTAATACGTACCAAATCATTGGACTGTTGACTTATATTCAATAGGAGATAATTATAATATTTTTAGTGGCTGCTGTCATGATACATCGGAAAATTTGTTTTTTATGATGTGAAATTGCTAGTGATTATCACTGTGGCAGGTATTCACATGATGAAAACAGGTTTTTGGTTTATCAGTAAGTGATTTTGAGGAAATTATGTAGCTGTTAATGTAAGTGAATTCAGTGATCTTATATTTGGCTTTGTTGGTAGGGAGCGCATGTTGGTACTGATAGCCCTGTTTGAGCGCTTCATGCTGTCTACACTGTTCTTCTTCCTGCTTGCCGTGGCAGAACGGACGTTCAAACAACGGTTTTTATATGCCAAACTATTCTCCCACCTTACCTCATTTCGCCGTGCACGAAAATCTGAGCTACCACACTTCCGCCTAAATAAAGTGCGCAACATCAAGACCTGGTTGTCAGTACGCTCCTATCTCAAGGTACAGTAAAATACTGATACATTAAAAAAATCTACTCTTGGTCAT